AAGCTGCACTGTCCCACTGATCACTAACCGCTGCAGCAGATGGAGACAAGAAAAGCAGGTACGGCAAACAGTCGTGTTAAGTAATCGGAGTTTGAAAAGCACTTGGGCAGACCATTTGTATATTTATTAGGTAATGAGTGTATTTTTTCCACACTAGCACTCAGTTAGCAGAGAAGCTACTGTTTCAGATTTTCTGTTTTCACATTGGGAATTCATGCTTTTAATTTGAATGAAGTTAAGGTCAAATTAACAGAAACTCCTTGTTTTTTGTTTAATTTTATATTTTTGTAACATTTTCTTACTTTCTGGAGTTCAATAAAACTTATGTTGGATAGATGGCCTGAGCTACACAATACAAAAATACATTATTTCTATTTTACAATCAAGTTTTGAGCTTATAAATCCTGTCTTGCCGAACATGACCCATTTAAACCAGGAGTAGTTTGCTTCTTTGTCTCGGGTTTTAAGTTAAAGCACATTAAAAAACAAAACACCCACGATAATTTGGCATTTGGTTCTGCTTCCGGTTGAACCAAATCGTGACTTCAGCGTACCGTTCGACACCTAACTGACACCGTGTGCATGAAATCTTAAATAAAACTCAGAAAAAGACTTGATTTGTCCAAACCAGTTGCTGGTAGAAACAACTAATTCATTCAGAGTTCATCTTAACTTACGGCACTAAGAGATCAGAAAGTATCTGAAGCAGTCTCTGCAGTAAACTCTGATAAAAAACCAACCTGTGACGTCATCACGTTTGCGTTTAGCTGACGTTTTCTCAGCTTCATCTTGATCTGGTTTCTCTTCTTCAGCGCCGCCTGCTTCATCTAAAGAGGTCTAATAAAAACAAACAGGAACAAATTTGATGTTTGAACGTGAATCCACTCAGAAAGAACAAAAAGCATACATGTTTGTAGTCTCGGCCTTACCTCAGGCTTCTGAGAGTCTCGGGTTTCTTCCGCCGACTCTTCTTGAGTTTCAGCTTCGCTTCTGGACGGAGGTTCTGGTTGGTCGTCTGTGCTGATCTCTGGCTCTGAAGCTGCCTCCTTATCTTCAGCAGCAGGTTCTTAAGCAGCAAATAAATCTCAGTTAAACGTTTTGTAAGTTTCATCAAGTAAAAATCAGAAAATTTCTGTAGACAGATCATTTAAACATGCTGTACAGGAGCTGCAGAAAGCCAGAAGAACAAAGAATCAGCCGAAGGGAATAAAAAACTAAATAAACTCTAGGCCTTTTTAATTATTTGGTTTTTAGACTCAGGACATAATAAAACTGAACTGGTCTTTAAAAGGTCTCCTAAAACGTTTATATCCAAGTCAGAATGGACAGAATCCCATAACAGATTATAAATACTGTAGGGTTTATGTGTTTTATTAAATGAGTGGGGCAATCACTTGTATAACAAGGCCCCAGCAAGATGTAGTGTTAACAAATATGGAAATGTCTAAAAAAGTTAAGTCTGGTCCTTTGGACATTCAAAAAACAAAAGGAAGCAAAACAAAACATCAAAAAAGTAGAAACTTTTTGTCTTTTATCTGAAAGACTTCTTCAGTCTGACTGAAGAAGTCTTTCGGATGAAAGACGAAACGTTTCTACTTTTTTTTTTTTTTTAAATGTCCAGAGGACCAGACAACTTTTTTGGATTTTTCTGCCTGGATTATTGAGCATGCATCAGGAAATATGGAAATGGTTTTGGAGTCACAGTGACCTGGAAATAATGTGTTTATCTTACGGGAAGTGAACATGGTATCAGAATGTATGGTTGTGTGTCCAGAGAACTTTTGTACTGGCTAACTTGGTAAAAACAGCTTATGTGTGTGCACTTGTACAATGATATTTACGTAAGCAGGAGAGTATAAAGAAGGTCGGAGAATGACTCATGTGGGGGTTCTTTCTTTCGGTCTTTGAGCTGTTTAGTGTTCCACAGTGTTCTAAAATAACCCTGACTTTGATGTCAATCAGAACCAAGGTGTCATATTACTTTATTTAATGTTTTATCCATATCCATGTCGTAATAGCTACTACATTTGGCGCCCAACGTGGGGCCTTGTTATGCAAATGATTGATCCACTCATTTAATAAAAGCCTTAAATCCTACAATTTACTAACAAAAAGAAAAGTAGAAAACTGTAAAGGCTCAGTCCACTCTGGTCAGAACCAACTTGTAGAAC